TGGCGACGGCGCAACGCTCTCTGTACACGTAAACCTTTGGAGAACTGACCTTACGTTTTCACCAAGCATATCCTTTGCCAGCATAACAACCAGCGACGCGTTATTAAAAGCCTCTACCCGATGCCTCCAAGTGCAAGCTCGTAAAGACCGACTTTACAACCCTATATACCCGCTATAATCACCCCTGGCCGAAGCAACGATTCCCTACGCCCCGTTCGCTTCCACTCGACTTTCCATGGTATCGCTGGCCACGCCACTTTTCCATTACCAACCATGATACAGAGATGCTCCCCCTCCGTGTTAATTTCATCATCGCGGATCCGTGGAAACGTGCCGGTTGTAAATCAATTAACAGGTTTATGGCTCTTTATGGGGACGACTGTCGTAAACCTTGGATCGGCCCGGTCCCACAGAAGGACCGCGGAAGAACGACAAAGACCTCGGGAAATTCCATTATTAGCGATTATCAGATGGACCGGAATCGTGGATCTTTCATCCACGTAGTTTCGCAATTTCAAATTTCAGTTTCAAATGGCCGATTCGAGTCGATTGCTCATAGGAATTTAATCATAATACCTTAGATATCGTTAGGTATTAATAAGCGTTATTCGAGAATAATCCCTTCAGGTATCAAGCAGTCGATTACTCACAGGAATTTAATAACGACACCTCGGATATCGGTAGGTATTAACCCTTATCGGTTGCTAGCCTTTTATACGTGATTCTCACAAGCTTGTAGCTGCTTTCGGTAAATATGCAAAAGATTTCCGTCTTGTCACCTCCCACGTGACGCACGATCACAGCGACAAAGTACTGTTGTCACGTGATAGGTGACTTAGGACCGATAAGGGTTAATAATCGAGCACGAGAAACGTACGAAAATGATTAACCCTCCCAAACTTGAGCCAAAACTTAATTCGAGAGTAATCCTGTGTACTTCAATGGCGGCGACATGGAGACATCGATGATCCAAGAGATCGATGACAAGAGGGTTCCCAAAAAGAAATTCTACCTCAATGGAACGAAGAAATCCTCCCGATATATAAAACTCGAAACACCTTGAAACAAATTAATCCGACAACGCGAGTTCTTCTATCAGAGGAAGATTTATTCGCTATAGACGGGTGTATAAAACCAGAACGTATCACAGGTGAAAACCCCGTGTGGAGCTACCCTCGCTCGATACCAGGGAATTTCATTCGAGAACACGACCAACATTGAAAGGGAATAATTCAGCAACGATCGGACGACTCGTTGTTTCTAACTCGTAAAAAATTTTTAGCATCGCGTCCGTGAGCTATACCTGCGAGATACTGTTAGGGAACGCGTGCTGAGACCTTGCTAGACAGATCAGGCCAGGGCCCGGTGTGCGTGAATCGGACTTTAGTGTGGTTTGCCCGCACGCAGGCTTTAGCCTCCTTCGAACCGTTTACGTCCGTGAACAAACTATTTCATCCGAAAGCGAGCAAAATAACAATAACTTTTAAAAACGAGCCAGATCGTAAAAGCAAGAGCGAGCTCCCAGGTTTCGGCTTTGGTTATAAGTTCGTATTATATTAGCCGGCTTGGAACGACTCGCCGGCCAATGGGGACGCTCGTAAACCCAGGGTTAACATTCGGTCGGGTTGTCAAGTGAAAGAGTGGCTTGAATTTCGTTGGGATCACTGTGAACGACGTTATAAGTACGTTCGTTCGGTTATACCGGGCGTTCCGAGGCTTTTGTTCAAATTAGAGCCACCAGTCGGACCGAATCCCCCGAACGTTCTCGATCGTATGCGATCAGAACTTTCTATCACCATTACAAATCCGACGTTACACGCTCACCCGTGTATGCGGCTGTAGAATCGATGGTATCGCTATGAACCGTTTTATAAAAGTTCGTTAACGATTTACAGCTTGTAATACACCGCTTGCTACACGTCGAATTCGCGTGTTAAAAGCCATGTTCATTTGCAAGATGCAGTTGGCCCAGCCTTAAGTTATGTCGCCGGGGACCAGGGTCCAAGAGGGAATATCCTTCCTCCGGCTGGCCGGTTTTATGTCTTTCGTCGTTAATATGACGTCGGTCAAAGTCGTAAGACGCGAAAGCTATAGGTAATCGGTAACAAACGTTCAATTCGTCGAACTGGAGTACAGTGCTCGAATTGTGCTCGCTGAGAATAATGATCTTTCATTAACTGAACTTCTTCAAATAACATTTTATACGGTAATTGCAATCGATACGATGACTCGTATATGCATACACGGGTAAATAACAGTCCACTCAGGAAGACCAGTGAATAACTGCCTTTGTTTCCAGGCCTGGCGACAAGGGAGGTCTCCTTATCTGCTCGTTAGAATTTCTTTTACAATTATCCCGCTTTATTGCCCGCTCGCGATTGTAGCGGATTCGCACGCCCGTGGCCGCACGATTCGCCGAGAGTTGATCGACATCGTTTCGCATTGCAATATCATTGGTTATCTGGCCATTCATCGAGAGTATGTACGTTTTCAGCGAAATCGGCCGGTATGTCGAAATCGCGGGATAGAAGCGCGTGAAAGTGGCGTTATGCGGTTAATAATGCTGCTACAAAATTAATTACTCCTGCGCCAGTACATAATTCAACGTTTATGCATTCGCGGGGATAATAAAATATCTTCATTGCCTTTTCGGTACATTTTCCACCGGGGTCTTTGACTTCGTACGAACGTGATTCGAGCTGGAAACAGGGGTATCGCGAACGGAGTGGAAATAAAATGTTGCGATTTATTTCACCGGTGGTCGTTTCTATTCTTACGTCGGAATGAATTTTAATCGCCTGATAAGAATTTGGAATATCCGGAAAGCCGAGTTAAGAGAGAAATTAAGCAACGGGCACAAGGTTAATGAATACGAGGGAACAATTAGCGGTAATGTAAGCGATATAGGTAATTTGTTTCGTGGTACATAAAAGAGAAGTCGGATTTGTAATCATTTTGAAATAACGTGCCGATTGATTAAGATGCTACGTTTTATTTCTGTTTTCTCTCTTACTGTTTCTGCGCAATTTGCCAAGGAAAATGGCCGTTTCTTGCTTTCAACGTCATTTAAGTACTATTAAAACAGCGCCAAGCCGTTGAAAAGTCACTTGAATCATGGTGGAATACTTGGATTAAAGAACTTCGTGTTGCCGACAAGTCGAATCTCTCCTCATGCATTAAACATTCGTCGTTTAACAACTCGATAAGAGATTGAAATAAAAAGAGAACATTATTTATCCTATATAGAAAGTAGGCGACTGAGAAAAAGGAGAAAATAATATATTCTTTGAACCTATGTCGCCATTAAAAAATTAAATTTTTTAAAGAATAATTATACTTGTTAAAATAATTAATAGAAATAGGTAACCATTAAATTCGCTAATAATTAGTATCGAATTTTTGCAATAAATGGTACTCTCTTATTTTTCAGTACAAAGTGTCCATAACGTATTGAATATGACGCCATAATTAAAATCGTACGACTACTCTAAAGATGCTGAAGAATGATCGACCAAAATTAGATAAAATTTTCTTTTATTGTAAAGAAAATGACTGCTACTTTGTGCCAAAAATAACATCACTTTTTAGCCAACTAGATAAATTTTCAAAATTTTGACAGAAAAATTAAAATCAAGCAAACAACACGAAACTAAACTCTAATTCTTTTCAAACATCCATGAATTTTAACTAATTGGTATTAATAAATAAAAACCTGATAAGAATTAAAAATAAATAACATCGCGTTTGTTCGAATATATTATCCTCTAGCTTCCTGTATTAATTTATGATAATTAAATAAAATTGATATTTTATGGTAAGAAAGATTTTGAATGCCTTTGATGGAGTTTATAATTCATCATACCTGTCTACACACCCGCGCGAATAAACCCGAAATCTCGCGAAACGAGACCTACTACAGAATACACCTTGTAACCCTCTTGAAAGTATTATCGAGGGTGAGACAACGGAGACTGATGCTGCTCCATGTACAGAGGGTGAGTTTCATAGGTGAAGCAGAGGGGTGACTAAAAGTCGGAGCAAGCAACAGGTAGGCAATCCCGGTTTTCAACGTGTACATACGTATACATTACATGTATATTCATCACCAGACGAGTACATTGAGTTAAATAGGCGATGAGCATGCATATTAAGCATACTATGCCCCCTACAGCGTAGATATCGTACTAATAAACGCCTTCAAATTTTAATGACAATGTATGTTTCGTTGTTCGGAAAATTCTGATGCATAAATAAATCGGAAAAACGGATTAACAATCCTATGAAAAATAATTATCGATTATGTGGCGTTCCAAAATGAAAAAAAAATAGAAAAAGAAAAATAAATAAATTAATGAATGTTGGAACTTGATTGCAAATGTCTAAGATTTTATTACGTAAGAACTGAAAGAAAAAAGATCAGTTTATTCATAATGAAACTCGTGGTAAACAAATCTGATGTAACTTCGATGATCATTTGCATTCTTATCCCCCAGAAATTCGTGACATCAAATCCATTCAACGTAGTTTTATCGAAATACATGAAAAATAAATTTAGAACAAAATGTTTGCGATAATTAAAGCGATCAAAGCAGAATCTCAAAATGCTAAAAAATAAAAGAAAAAGATATAGAAACAAACAAAAGAATTCATCTAAAATGAAATCCACAGATCGGAGTTATAAGTAACTAGAGCACTAACGAAAACTGGAGCACAATGCTTACAATTTCTATTCCGCCTGTCAGTGTTCAACTCGAAATTAATTCCTTGAATATTCATATACGTAATATACACGATTTTCTATACACGCTTGCACGCGTTTAATACCCTATCTAACATTACAACTAAATTTCTCTTCATCGCAATTCTAATGGCCATTACGTCACAAAAGAGTTTTCCAAACATTTTCTTCTACAAAATATTTCATATGTATATAGAAAAATCATGAAATTCGAAGAGACATAATGGAAAAGATGGATAAAAGAGAGATTATTATCACTCACTGGTTAGCGACTGCGGTATATGGGTGATCGTTCCAGTGTGAGGGTGCAACGGGGGTAATTTTCTGGAACTAGGAATACTGATGACACCGCCGAAGCCGGTGTGTATGCCGTTGCTACCATGGCTGCTGACCGGTGAATCGCCACTGCTGCTGTCGTAACTACCCTCGAGACTTCTAGCTGGCTGAGGAATCGAAGAAACTCGATCAGTTTCTGCACCGAATGGCAGTGGATCCACCTGTTAGGAGAAGATCAATTACGATCGCAGGTCGACGAGATAAGAGTAGCTGATTTGAGATTATCGCGGACGCGAGGCGCACAGGAAACACAGCAGAGGAAATTTGCCCCTGCATCGCGAGCAGGCCTAACCCAGTGTTAGGTACCCGATGAGATACGAAAATAATCATAGCTTCGCGCGATTCTATTCGAGCAATTATAGTATCTACGATTACTACTCGTCGTATCGAAGGTCCAGGTCGCGGATGCACTCGTTAATCGGATGATTTATTTCTGAAAGGCATGCGCGCCTCGCGAGATTTACGCGATGTACGAGAGGTCTCACGCGTGCAAGCTCGGTCAATCTTGGTAACGGACAAAATGGACGGTCGAGAAAAGCTGAACGAGGATGTACAATGTTTGACATATTCCGTGAGCTTGAAATCGATGCCTCCGATGCTACTTTATCACGTGTTTTCTTTTTTCTTTGTTATATACAGAGCAAGTTAATACAACAGATCATAAATGGCAAGGTGCATAAAAATGATTAGAAAATGAAATCGACGGAATGTCGAATACGAAGTCAACAAAATATCTACAATCTGCTTTGAATTGAATTACAAATTGAACATAGCAATTATCAACGCCATGTTTATGGCCAATACTAGAGGATTTTCTAAACATTTCTATTTATATACAGTTTTAAATTAATTTGATGAAAATTCCATTGACGTAGGGCTATTATAAAGCTTCGCGTGAAAGCACACGGTATTAATAATTATTAATTTTCTATATTTTAAATAACATTCCTTATGGATTATATATACTACAATTAATTAGATCTCACATCTGAAGCTCCAATTAATTTTATCAAACTTATACCTAAGAACATCTCAATTTTCTTTACTTTCATAGACTCAAAGTAATTTAAAACGATCATCGAAATTCTTCGTGAATTTCACGAATTTCGAATTAATATTCCAATACTCTCGCGTGTATAATATTCATGTCGAATCGGTAAGCGACTTTTGCTGCATCTTAGACACTAAAACAAATTCAGCAACTCGGTGAACCTATAAACTGAAAAAACATATTTCATATACTCTGCGATTAAATAACATACAAAATATCACAACTCGCGAATATGCATACAATTTTGCTGAAGCAGAGGTCCCTGAAGTACCCACAACCCTATTCCGATAAAATTCAAATCACCCACAAATCCCCCAGAAACGTAGAAATTTCAAATTCTTATTAGTCCCCTGTAAAAGAAATCCTCTACCTTCTTAGACGCGCAAAACTCATGAATATTCTACCCGGCAAGATTTTTATCGTCCCCTGTTACGACACAGATCACCTTCCAGGATTACAACATACAAATACACAAATACATGAAATAACATTCAAAGCCTGCGAGAAAGTCTCTGACGTACAAAGATATACCAGCTCGCAGACTATTATAAGGCCTCCGCGAGGAAGACCCAAGGAGCAAGGAAGAACTAACCTCTTCCGCCGCTCTGACTTTGACTTCATCCTGCGCCAGCTGCCTTCTCAGCTTCGTCTGCTGCGCCATCACGCGCTGCCGATCGGCCGTGATCTTACACTTCTCGCAGTTACAGTAACGGTACTTGCAGTACCTCTTGTGCGATTTTAGGGTGATCTTCAGCCGATGGTTGCGACATCTTGCGCAGTTGCGCGGCGCACGGGGCCTCGGCGTGCTGTTGGTGGACGAGGACGCGTCCGTTTGCATCCGCGTGGAAACCACCTCGTCCCCGTTTTCCATGCTGTCCTGCGAATGTTCCAGATGCTCGAACGTGTTTACACCGGTTGACTGTTGGGGAGCCAGGTCCGCGGTTCTGTTTTGCTCGTTCTGTTTGGAATACATAGATGGCCCCGATCAGGGCCTTTTCATCGCAGCGAAGAACAACTTCGGGGTGACCCACGAAGGGACAGCTCTTCGCCCAGGCTGTCGTCGATTTTTCTTCTGCTTCTATCACACGCTTGTCTAATCGACTTGCATCACCTTCGACGCGCCAAGCCGATCCTCGCCAACCTACTCTCCCATCCAATGTTCGAGTTTCGCGATCTGCAACAGGAAAAGGAAGTTCTTCGTCAGTGAGTATGGTGAAAAAAAGGTACTTTGTCGTGAAAATTATTGGCTGTGTGAAAGTGGGGTCTCGATATCTTCCTATGTATTAGATAGGATTATACAGGGAGGATGTAATAATGAAAAGTATATTTCTGTAGGATAAATATGTTAAGCTTATTTTCTTTTTATTATTATTATTTTAGTTTAATTTTAGAATATACGATAATGAGGAATTGAATAAAGTAACGTTACTTTAAGCCAGAAGCAGGATACTATCTTAGATAAGTTACATAGATTATTTGACTTTGTTGAATTAATTTTAAATAAGGAAATTACATTCTATCATATATTTATCGAGGAATCGATAAAATCGTATAGGTTTTCTCATCAAATATACAATAATACCTTCGTTTATTTAATACGCGCAATAATATTTCTGCCAAATGCGTTTAAATCAATATTGCTAATATTGCCAATTTAAAAATCTCTCCCGATTAAAAATCTAATTTACCCCGGAGAAAAGCCAGACGCCAATTCGAATTCAGAGACCATCGTCTGCTCGGCCCTAACTGCCAAGGTGGAATTAAATTATACCGCGTAAATAGGAATAAAATTTAAGCGAACGATCGAATTCATAAGAATATAGCCGTTTCGTTGGAAACGGTGTAATAACAGTCTCGTCCAATCTACACCGCGATATCTGTACATGAAATTCATTCGTCGCACAACTGCCGTCGGATTGCACTAGGGGTACGTTAGGTCTGTTGAATTGCTGACCCAAGAAGACCGCGATTCAGACCCTATCAACTGGAACACGATGGCAAATATTATCTACAAATACTTCTCAGGAGCATTCATGCACTCTGTTCAGGCTAACTGGAAGATCGCTTAATTGGACGACTTTGCCTTTCACTAAAATACCTAATAACGATAAGAACACCAATAGACTATATACAAGTGAAGCGTTCAATCAAAATGTTGCGACACTAAATACATGATATTTCCTTTATACTTGAGCCCCGGTAATGTTATTTGTGTTTAATAATATACACCCGTTTAAAGAATATTCTGGAAACCTCCGTTAAACGGTGCTCGATTAAATGCTGAAGAGACATGAAGATCACGCGAGCGATTTTCTTGCTCGTTACACTCTTTTCATTTTCTTATATTATCTGCGATACGTTCTTGTGAAAGGTGCAGGTTTTACTGCTCCAAGGCAACTGATTATCTTAACGTATAATTATGAATAAAATAAAATCGACAATATGCTAGCTTACTCGATTACCATTGCTTTTAAGCATCGGGGGAAAAAAGAAATTCCAAAATGTTTCCCCACGTGAAAATGTAGACCGAGAAAACGACTCGAGATTCGCGTAATAGGAATGTTTCGTGAAAAGGGGGCTTAAGCCATCAACTGATATAGCCTGCTCGATCGCTATTGCCCTTAAATATCGCTAAAGCTTCCAAAATATGTTCTTGGGCGTGAAAGTGGCAATTAAAAAACTGGTAATCGACGAAAAAATTCGCGTAATAAGAATCCTTCATGAAAACGAGCCTTCAAGCTGTCGATCCGTTGACAGCTTACACGACTGTCATTGCTCTTAAGCGGCGCTAAAAATTGCCAAATGTTGCGAGACGCGAAAATATAGACAGGAATAAGTCGTAATCGACGCAAAATTCGTGTAATGGAAATTTTTCCATGGAAACAAGGCTTATCGTCGCGTTTATAGGCAATGGCGCGATGGCAGACTATAGATCTGCTTCCCGATTCTTAACCTGCCTTTCAAAATTGTAACGTTGCAGGGTAAAACGATCCTAAAAACGTTTCGTGTCCAAGACCTGCCGGTGTGTAATCGATATGTAATAGAGAGGTCAAAACAATATCCTGTTCCAGGTGACTTATTCATGGGCAATCGATTTAGCCTCACCTTTGCCGTGCTTTCTTTCGTTATACCGATTTCATGATCGATCTTCGGAATGGCGAATTCTCAGAACCCTACCGTTTACCTCCATTCCGCTATTCGATCACGTTTTTCCACGGATATTCCACGGGAATGCTCGATTTCGGCCGAGAAGCTTCGATCGAGAGATGAACGACGGGATATGGGAAAGCTCGACACACGAGGCTCGATGACTGAATAACGAGGACTCGTTGCCGGAATTTATAAGGGTTTAATGAAAACGGCAGACAGTGATTTATCAAGAGGATACGGTAGGAAATGAAATTAGTGCTAATGCTACACGACCGAACAAAGTATTACTAAGTATAGAGCAGATAGCTGCGAGTTTGACAGAATCTTCGGCTGAAATCTGAAACCTACTGGATATTAAGTACAGGCCTTAAAGCTCTTCCACCCTCGATCCGAGAACAGATAAACGGGCATCCTTAGATCGTGCCTCGATTCTGCCACTCCACGTATACAAATAGTACCTTTTAGCATACACTGCCTGCTTTGGCGATCTGTCGTGTGATAATTCTTGCACAATAATCGCAATGGAAACAAAGTATCAGTGTCGATGGACTAGGTCAAATCAATGACAGCCTGTAATAGGAGCTGCGTAGCAGAAATGAAAGGACAAGACATAACCTCACATTTCAAGACACTTCGAGTGGAAGATCAACTGGAACGTTGTCGGATTGATTTAGTTACTTTAGTTATACCTTCGTGATACATTAAGACTGTTTATCTTAATTTGGAACCTAACAGTAAGTACGTATGTACGTTTGGTTTTGGTGGACATTTTTGTATAGTTAAAATCTAGTAACTTTCTGTTACTTTCATTTTGGCGATAATTTTGAAGATTTACAAAATCATGGTTTTATAAAAACAGATAAAAATAGGAATGATTTTAAAAATATAAAAATTACGAAGTTTGAGTATAGAGAAGAGTACAAAAAAAAAAAGAATGGAAAGTATTATTTTTAAGGAATGAAAGTTCTTATAATTTTATCTCATGCAATATTCTGTTAGATTCCATCATACTTCTCGCCACACAGTCATAAATTGTACTATTATTTTTGCAACTGCATGATATCAGTAACTACATTTAATCAGACTAATATTTACTTTACACTTTACTGAGTAATCTTTGAGAATATACCACTATCTTATATTTAATAACTTTGATATTTATCTATTTTACTGCTTCGCGTGTTTCGTGTCATAAACTAAAAGCTTCGTCTATGGCGACAAAACTTTCAACAATTTCTCTGCAAAAATAATCTACCATGGTAGAATTAGCCTAACAAATGTGTTCTCGCTAATTTTCTATTAATTCCGTTGAAAAATCTTCTGAAATAATTTCTCAAAAATAAATCGAGCGAAAAAGAAGCTCAGATTTCTTTTTAATAATTGATATCGTACAAATTATGCTTATGAAAAACGAATTGTAACACGCGTCATTTCCAAGAAAAACTTTTATTTGTCTACGGCCCCGTGACTACGAACGTTTGTTGCGAAAATCCTTGCCAGTAGTAGAATCATTATAAAGAAAGTTATCTTATCGCGTATTGAACAAAGTAACAAAATGCATGCTAGTCACGGTTTCCGCGATATATGGATCGATAAATGCTTGCATCTTATACGCATAAAAGTCGAAGCCCGGTTGCATATATAAGAGCGGCAACTTTCAATCCGGTTACACGATTATTTCAATTTCAGAAATTGTGCATTACGTTAGAACTTTCTAGAGTCTTTAACAGTGTGGCCAGCTCATCAGGACATTGTATCGATTACTTTTACGTAATGCCACGAACACCACGACACATCGCGCGGATCTGCATGAAAAACTGCACCGGCGATCATTTATTCTTCGCTTTACGTTCTAATTAATGAAAAAAAAAAAAAAAAAAAAAAAAAAAAAAAAGGACAAGATGAAAATCATCAGGAAGTGAAAACAAATACTCCTGCTTAACGCTCGATTTCATGCATATGCGCAGGCTTTTTCACGCATTTATAATCGCCATACATTGAAGCATAACTTCTTACGTACGGCACGCGATGCATCGCAATTATTGCTATTAAAGAACAATGCGACAGGAAGTGGAAAGGAGCGATCGTTCGATAGAAACGACACGATAGAAGCGTGAAGTAACGAGAAGTAACGGAGAAAGGCGAGAAAAAGTAGCGAAAAAAAAAAAAAAAAAAAAAAAAGAAGAAAAAGAAGGAAGGAAAGCTACAGAATTTTATAACACGAATACCTCGCGTGATTAAACTTTGTTCCGCGAGACCAGCACGGTACAGGCGTATTTCGCACGAACTCGTAAAAATTCCGGCCGGAAACAAAGAAATCAGAAGACGCGAAATTCTTCCAGGGAAATAAGGTTATATTTTAATAGAGGGATAAAACGGGAACCCGAAAGGATAAAGTGTCTTCGTATTACCGTTTTATCCCTCTTCTCTTATTCTGCCTTCTTCGGCAGTTAATATCTTTTCATTTTCATAGAAATGGAACATAATTCGTGTACCAGCATCAAAGGTTCCGCGATGCTCGAGCCCGCCAAAAGAAAATAAACGTGTAACCTTTTCTCACGGTCCAGCTAAGGCCACAGGAATGATATCTTCTTCAACGGCAACAAAGTTTCACCCGACGATGGTTTCCAACGACAGATACCCTCGGTGAGAATCGCGAGCACGTGTTTATGTCGTCGGCCATCTTGTTTCTGCGTCTTCGATACGCTGTACACTGTATCAGAAATCACCGGAGCGACCTCATCTAATTGCACGCGAAGTGATGACGCGCTCTTCTTATCGACTGTACTCGTCTCCCTCTCTCATTCTTTCTGCAACATCAAACCGTATCGGCCAATTTCGAGCGAAACGCGAGTCGAACAGTTTCTTCCTTCCTTTTTCAGCCTATTTGTTTCTCCTCCTCCTTCCTTTTACTCTTTCACGTTCACCGGCAATTCTTTCGTTTCGTCTTCTTTCCCCTCTCTTTCTCTCTCTAGCTTTCCCCCACTCCCGACGGACCTTCGACGCGAAGATCGAACTCTATCGAAAGTTCGTATCCAACGGTAAGGAATAAACGTTGCACCATGTTAGACAATTATTCAGCAATTTCTCATGTTTCGACGAGGCCCGTGATTAATTGTTCTTCCCCTTTCGACCAGATTTTTAACCACGTCGAACGTGGCGATAAAACGATATCGAGGAAAGAAAATTTTTATTAGAAAATGTAGCGTGATTTGACAGATTACCCAACGAGTGACGCTTTTACCAACCGGGAAACTGATTTATCATTGAATAGAACGACGGTTAACGACGGTTGACGACGTTAATGTAAGCACATAGTTCCAGTGAAACTGTGAGCCCGACTAAGTACAAAAGTGTTGCAGTTAATGCGAGTCATTTTCCTACACACGTATTCATCACATGTACGCTGTACATGTATTGCTAAAGTATACTCTATGTATCTAAAATTCATAATAACTAATAAACACGTATTCAATACCAGCGTTCATGCAGAAGGAACATCGGTGTATTACATGACCGACGCTGAAATATTCAGAGCTATTCATGATTCGACTATATGGAAGTGCATAGAATTTTCCTGATCTTAAATATGTATATGTACATTAATAGCGAATATAAAAACGATCTCAGGCGTCATTACGTAAAAACTGGTGTCGGAAAGTTCTAAACGCTTTTTATTCCAAACGTCAGCTGATAGCAAAACCATTATCACGAATCAATAAAAACGATCAAAAACACGGAATACACTAAACAAAAAAATTATAAAATGTCTAGTGTGTCTCTTAGACAATTTCGTAACATAGTTGCACAGTGTTGTAGAATTTTTTTAAGCACAATTAAAATTCTCTGATAAGCGCATGGATTCCGATTAATCTTAATAATATTCATTCGAGTAAATGCTATTTAAAATTGCAAATTTTTCGAGAAAGTATGTAAGAAAATTTTAAGACAAAGAATACTTTCTTTTGCAAGCTGAATGCAAACTTTAATAACTTATAGTAATTTTTTTATTTTTTATATTTCAATCACTCTGTTTAATAATAATTTTACAAATGTTTAAAATTATTTTATTTTTATTCATTTTTATTGACGATTTTCATGTATTCAGAACACAATTTTTCAACTGGTTTGTATTACCAAATTGATTACAATTTGTGTATATGTTTCGTACGAGCATTTTCACGTTTCTAAAATTGCTTTTTCAACGTACTTTATCATGCAATAATACAAAATTTAATTGTATTTTTCCGTGTCTACCGGTTTCGATTAATTTCTTTTCTGCTTTATTTTTTATAAGGTTTGTTGCAATTTTGTTAGGCCGTGTAGGTTGACTGGAATCCATCTTTAAAAAGGTCCACGTCTTGAAGTTATAGGTTACGAACTTCCATCAGGATGTTCTCTTTTATATTTTATTTTATCTTCTTAATAAATATCAAACAGCGACTTCTACTTAATATACGAGTATAACTTCGTGCAAAAACATTAGAACATACAAAATATGACAATTAATTCAAATTATCGGAGAAACTATTAATCTTTTAGAATTATATTCTTGCAAGGTAAGGATCCGAAAATAAATACACACCAAAAACTTATAAAAGTTACATTTGTACTATTGAAAAATTTTCTCCTTCTATTTGTTAAAAACTCTTTTGTTTAAAAATTATTTAATTCTTTTCTATGGTAAATTTTACTATATATTTAATATTCGAAACTATCAATTTGAATTAAATTGATACAAAATACAAAACTAATTTTTGCAATCAAAATCACTCGAATTTTTCATTAGTTTTCTAATTTCTTTTGCTGATAAAAACTATATTACAATTTTATCACATGAAGAACACGTTTATGCCTATTATTACAATTTAAAAAATTACAAACACCCATATTTCATAAAACTGAACAGTATGAAATAATATAAATACGATAGGAACACAGTTAATCAAAAAACAAAGAAATGCTTAGGAAAATTTTTTCCAATTTCTGTGCATGTCTGGTAATTTTATGAGAGACTGTGTACTGTAAATGAATCACTTAAATAACCGTTTTATTAACCTACAATAATACTACATTCGTGTCGGCTTACAAAAAGCGTGCAATGAAACAGATGGTTCCATAGTATTCTTCATATAATAGGTATTACTAATGCAGATACTATATCAACCTTAAGTACAAAGTATGCAGAAAAAGTTCAGTTCAGTTACAGTATACCAACAATTTAGTTATAAACCGTGATAAAGGGGCACCAAATTGATAATCATTTCAAAATATAATCCAAATTCCACAAAAATAGAAATTAAAAAAAAAAAAAACAGAAAAATAAATAAAAATAAAGAAAACTGTTATCTCACCTAATATTATTGATGTAAAAATCTGCTTCTCGTCAGACCGTTTATTGCACTTTTAAAGTTCATTCTCTGCAATCAGCGAACACAGGTAATCGGTGCTTGAAGGATAAAACCACAACTGTTGTAAAAAAGCACTATGTTACACATATATCTCAAATTACAATTTTCCGTGTCCATTCGATTACACAGTCTTACTGTAAAGTTATACACCTTTTATAAACGAATACATACTATTTTGTACCACGCGACGTGCACCAACCTCGAATCGCATTTGCGCGCGAGAACAACTGCGCGCGCGCGCGCGGTCAGTCGAACATGTTTGTATATGCGTCTTGTCTTTTTCCTTCACGTCACATGCACGCACACGGCGGTTGACAGACCAAACGATCAAACACAATAGATAGTCACTGATTATTAGTAAATATTATTTCTGTCACTTTATTCTACGTTCTAACCTCTAATGTTACACTGTCTCGCTGGCCTGTTGCTGATCCTCGTGTCTATTCGTCCTTCCGCTCGGTCGATAAAACGATTCGTAAATACGACTCAGGCGAAGATCACGAGTTCACTAGCAAACACTGCGCATATTCGTTTCGGGATATGAACTACAGACCGAAAAATCCGCGGGAAATAACGTCGCACATCCAGTTCCGCAAAAAGCATAACAACGCACATCGAGCTTCCGTCTGCGCGCCGCGCACTTTTGCACACGCGCACTTCGCTTGTCTTCTCTCGTGCGCCGTCTTTCTCGTGTCCACGTGTCACTCTATCCTCCTCCTACTTCTCCTTCTCCCCCTCGTGCATCGCGAAGCGGCGGTTCCCTCCATTGAAATACGTTACGGAACACGTTGACTCTCGCCTCTTGCCTCTTCGATCGACAATCTTCATCGAACCACGCGAGATCCCGTCAAATGTCTATAGCGAAAGTCTCTGAGCTGATCCACTCGAATCTCCTTTCCCCTCGGAAAGTCTAGCTTCTATGCTATACTCGAGAAGTGTGACAAGACGACAACGCACAAGAGCATGGAGAAACGTGACGCGTCCCCACTAGCGTAGCTCCATCGGCTGGAACACGGTTGAACAACGAAACGTGGCGTGATGATATTCATAGAAGAATCTAGGCGGTGAAACGTGGAAAAGTGCGAGTGAAACGAATACAACACTACCGATACGTTCGATGCGCACTTGCATGCGGTCCGTAACTCACTAAGAGTGCTGGTAGCAGCGACACGCCGACGAGATGCATGGTGGCCTGCGGGTACCGGCTGGGAGGGGGTACGTCCCTGGCACGGGGAGGAGACACGTTGGGCTGTCAGGAGAGCGAGGGGTCTTTCGTCGAAGAGTGGTGGTTGGACGTATGGAGGTGGTACGCGGGTTTAGATGAACGTCAAGCTTTTACGATTGAATCTATCCGACTGACGCGTTGATTCTACCTATGTGCACAGTGTACGTTATCGCCAATGAGCAGCTCGTCCGCGCTAGAAATGTTGCGCCTTTGAGTACATCATTTATCGTCAATAAACGACTTCGATGATCGACTAACCGCCATCGAAATAAACTTCGATCGGTATCTCTTTACCGGTAGTGCATGCTATACGAAACCGCGTGGAAATATTCCGATCAGCGTTAAGTCACGCGATTCGAGAAGGATGGCTTTCCGAATATACTACGAAGTCTATGAGTGCATTTTTCGCATAGTTTACTGATAAATCGAAGGTACTTGCAATCTATGTAATTCGTTATATTCGTGGCTCGTGTTTTCTCGTAGACGCTGAATGTAATCTCGGGAAATATAAAGTCAGATGAATAGCGACAGTGGCGGAAATGAGATACGCTAAGCCCTCGGGCGGAAACGCTTTAACGCGATTTAAAAATTCGCGCCACTCCTGGCGATTGAAATAAACACTGCTGAAGTCAAGTGAAGGATTAAATATATAATTTACAGGTTATGTTCGCGTACATGTATCTTTCGTTCGAAGTGGTGACGTTCTCATAACTTTTTAAGAAGTGATAGAGATTAAATATTGTATTAAATTATTACATCGACAATTCGAATCGCGTAAAATTTAATTTTCGTAAAAAACTTACTCCCAATAAAGAGAAAAATATTTCCTCTGAATAAAATTATTTTCTCTTCTTTCTTTTTTCAGAGTGAACAGGAGAAATACGGCATGAGAAAATTTCAAGTCGTGAAATGCAGGTTAGGATTTAGTTTTACACGAAGAAGCAATATGTTAACACCGTAGGCAATATTTCGACTCGTATAAGCAGTATACGTAAATATATGCAATACACGTAAATATTCCACGCCTATTTGCAGTATTTCACATCTGATAATACGAATAATAGACAAAAATGTTCGTCGCGTTTCACAAATCTTTCCTTTCGAATTTCGCTTTCAACGTTCAGATCGATCACGATAGATACGACAGACGTGCATTTTAACGACACAATTTACGCAACTTTTGCCGATTACACGAAGGCAGCAAACGCTATGAACGTACAACGGTGCGCGCGCGCGCGTGTGGTTGCAAACAAGCTGCAAGTCGTAAAACGAATCTCGCCGCGTAAAAACGATTTGATATATGTATACGAGCTTTATATTTAATATCCCTCTTTCCTTCGTTTTACATAAACGATGCCTTGTATTCGTACTAGCGTCCCCGCTTTATAGATAACCAAAGCACTTATAGCAATCGTTCAATGCGAAATAAAATATTTTATACATCTTTCTCCCAGTTTATGGACCGAGCTAATGTTTTTATACCACCATACGGATAAATATCGCTACAAATTTCTACATAAATCCTGATTCTTATCTTTTACCTAAACCCGTATAATTAACACGCGTGTCCACGCTTCCCCATCGAATTCGTGTCCCTTACGATCCAAATTTATGGAAACTATTTCCCGCGGTTACAATGCGAAACGCTGGTACTTCTCAATTTTTTAAGGCTGACGCGATACACGTCATTTGATCGCAATGAAAACAGGACAGGTCTCAATCATTGACGGGGAAAATAGGAACGTTGCAGGGGTGGACGTCGAGTCTGGATGAGTTGGAGATGAGGTTGGTGGTTGGGGTGAAATGACGATCGTAAAACGTCCTCGGAGTGGATTCGTCGTACGATAGCCAACGATAGATACGTGTGCACACGCGATATCCCGGAGGTACTTTACTTGCGGCTGAATTTACTGATTGAGCCACGACAATTGTCGTTGCGGTAGGAACGGATTTTACGCATTCTGGAGATGTCAATGACAGAAGCCTGGCAGAGCAACTGCGTCAATTTGTTTCGAACCAAATCGTAAATCATAGATACGAGTGATCAGTTTCGATATGAGTAACTAGAGACTGTTGATCTTCCAGAGTAGCTTCCAGCGTTCCTAACCTCTTAGGTTCCAGCACTGGGTCCTAGCAGAAGTCCATGCTGATCGACGAAACCTGGTGAAGCAACTGCGTCAACTTGTTTCCAGTTGAAAGGTAGATCGTAAATCCGAGTAATCGGTTTTGACATTTGTAATTAGAAATTTGGGATTTTTTAGGGATGTCGAAGGATGCTGAAGGATATCGTGGGCTTTGGACCTGCTCTTGGTTCTAGCAGAAGACCATACTGTATGCAAAACTTGGTGAAGCAACTATGTCAACTTGTTTCAAGATGAAAGGTAGATCGTAAATCCGAATGATCGGTTTTGACATTTGTAATTAGAAATTTGGGATTTTTAAAGGATGTCGAAGGATATCGTGGACTTTGGAACTGCTCTTGACTCCTAATCCCTTGCGCTGCGACGAGATCAGTTTGTCACGAGTTCGTCATGTTAAGTAAGAGACGCTGAGTCTATGACAGGAACCTGGTACAGCAACTATGTGAGTCTATTGCGAGTTGAATTGTAAATCGGAAGTCTGAGTGATCAGTTTCGATTTGCATATGTAATTAGAGACTTTTTATCGATATTGAAAAAGATCAAGTGGGTTATGAAATTCTTCTTGAGTCATACTTAGATGTGCTATAATGACGAATCCAGTTTAGCATGAGTTTTCATGCTAAGCCACATCGTGACGAGCTACATTCGTCATGCGACTAAAATTACACTTAACTGCTTTAATGCCGCGTGTACTAAATTTGGTACACGATCAGTATCATATCTATGCCAAGTGACGTTTTCGTTATCGATAAATAAATTATTGGAAGCAATTGTTGTCGTTATTACGCCTTGTAAAACGACGTTTACTATACATTTTCTGGCTTCGACGCGTACTGTAATGGTAAATAAATCTTTATAAATTTACCATATTCTGTATCGAGTATAATTCCTGATACACTGGGATAATAGAAAGCTTACTGCAAAATGGCTGGCCATCCCACGTACCAAGGGAAAAAACCATTGTGACAGCTATAAATGAAGGCTATTTTTCAGAGTATATTTATATTTCCAAGTCACACGTGACATATCACTTAACATAAATCAGCAATTGGTTCGTTAGCATTGAATTAATAATAATACAAATTTTATCTATTATTTATTAGTTGTTATTCCAAACTGAATAACATTTTATGCTCACATTTTCACCTTATGATATCCAATTGAGATTTCTGGCAATACTCACAGTTTTTCCCTAATGAAAGAAACATTAGCCCCTAAATTAAGTACATTTGCTTGTATCTTATTTCCCCTAACACACGTTCCCATTGATGAGAACTTGAGAATTCGCGTCATAGAACAATAGTAATCATCCGAAGTGGACAATTGGGGGAGCACGAATACCTCAGTGACTCACTGTGCATTTAAAATAAACATTTATCGCTGGACTTCTCTGCCGTCCGTTTAATACGCATCCTCGAATAGCCTCTTCGAGGACAAATCATCCACTTGGAGAACGCAACCAAATATTTCCCGCCATTTACATATTCACGTTGCAAAACAATGTCGGACATAAAACTACCGTCGATAATACACAGGAGATAAGTATCAGAGACATAGCCACGGTGATCAGCAGTGTCTCCCTGAAACGACGATACACGAGAACGTGCAACGAGCGTATATGCAACCTAGTGTAGCATATTTTCTCCTTCCTTTTGCCAAAAGCAAAGAAGGAAAGTAAGGAAACGAATCAAGCGACAAATACCATTCTGACGCTTAATTGTATACTTTCCTTCGCGTCGTACAAGACGTACAAAACTTGCGCCAACTTTTTCAGAGCTACCTTATATTTATGGAGTCAACGAGCTGGTTTCAGTTACTCGGACCACCCTGTATAACGCTTAACTTAATCACTGTAATTCAATGCGACGCGTATTTTTTTAACGGCCGCGTCGCAGCGAATGAACCTCGCGTTGCCGCGAATCGCAACACGAAGTTATAAATTGCTAGTAGCCAATGTCTGAAAGGAAGATTCGTTGTCTGGGCTGGGTTAAAATTTTTCGTGCCTGTAATGATGGCGCAGCGCATTCCGTGCAACATGAACGGGTGGGTAGGTTCGCGAAAAAACGAGAATTTCAACGCCTGACCGGATGGATATTTCGGCTGGGATGAAAAAATCCAGGTACCCGAACGACCATTGTTTAAACACTCTCGATCATTGTTTAGACGTGAAAGTATACGGAAAGTAAAATAACACGTTCTTGGTTAATTAATTAATATTTAAAGGTGCTCCAGAGTATCTTCGATTTGAGAAAAATCTCACGCTCAGTGGGCTGGATTTTACCTGGATTTCTCAATTATCGAAACTTTTAAACTTGATCAATGTTAATTTTATTTTGTTATAATTACAGTAAAATTTGTTTATTTTAGATGAACGTTTAATATTTATTGAACATTGTTAACGTGACATTGAAAAGTCTTTAGAAGAATATCGTATATTTTTCTTCGTTTGACTTTCAGGAGCATTAAATTAAAAATTTCGAAATTTCAAAACTCGATATCTGCTTGAGTTAGAATTCTTTCATAAAATTTTGAATAATTACAAATTATCGAAGCAAATTAACAATCTTGCATCCTTTGCACCCCTCTGACGGTGTAACTGGTACAAAGACGTTAATTATTTGCAATTAATTAACGTCATTTCTACCGATAATCAGAAAAATGAGTGAAAACTACCTTTTCGTGTGAGAATTTTTGCTTTCAAAGAGCTTCCAGTTGGAATAGCATACCAGAATCATTGACCAATCGAACAAGAAGGTTCTCAAAGTTCAATAGACCAACACAAATGTTATTTTAAATGCAGTAAATAGTCACGTCCCTTTACATTCCAAAGATTGCGAATTATCATAATTATTATGAGAAGGAATCACGCTTGCTTTATCCCGATTGACATTTCTAGCGTTAAACATCAAATACATGCCCTCTATGTAATGTCTTGAATATGCACATTGCACCGGCTAAATATGCATCAGATTACTTTATTAACAGGAGCATGATGGCAAGGCGTAAGGGAAGTCGTAAGTCGTGTATGTGCGCTACTCTTGCCTGCTGATAATGGAAATCTTCATCGTCATCCTCATGTACCGTTGGCAAAAATAAAGGAAGGTGCGTGCTGCACTTGATTGCAGGAACTAACGAACAATTTGCCGGGACCCTGTTCTATAAAAGTG